GGTGCGTACAATATTTGGTATAGCTGCCTATATGGTGTAATTAGCTTGCCTTGGTCAGTTCATGATGTGACTGGGTCAGAGTAGCAATTGTCATTTTAGCACATGCAAAACTGTGCGCATAGGGTAATGGGCAGACCAACAAGGTAGTACAAGCTACAATGCAGTAAGTGTCTAACATGTGTCAGAGGTATTATCTAATTTATGTGCAAAAAAGAAGTTAGGTGATGTTATGTAACAATAATAATAATAAAAGAAAAAAGTTATTTATTATAATTAGAGAGATGAAAATGGGACCTCAATGACTTCGAATATGTGAGTCTTTACATGATTAAAGACCTTTAAAATTTTGTGCCGCAGGACAGTTTAAATAGCCAACGGATAAAAGTTTGTAGGGTGAGTGACAAATGAGATTCTTGTGGAACTCTTTATGTTTGAATGGGCTGTCAACTGTGTGTGGGATTTATTGATTTCCCTTCAAATTTTATTTATTTATTTATTTTTTTAATACTATGGTGAGCAGACAGACTAGTGAAAAGTTGCACTATAGAGATACATATATCTACGCATTCTATTTTTATATGCGAAGAAATTAGGACGACAGTAAAACCTTTGTTTATCATCGTTATGGGTGAAGGCAGATTGATATACTGGGGCTTTCAACCCTCCACAGGGCCACTTTACAAAACTTGTTTTAAGTCGAGGACTAGGGGTAACAAAGGTAGTGGGTTGCTTAAAGTGTCATGCTTCTCTATTTTTATTATTATTTCAGAATGCATTTGGCAAGCGATAAATCAATGAGAAAAATATGAGTTTTCAGATAGACGGGGGTACTATAAGAATCATGGCATTCAAATTATATTCTTGAACGTAAATAACATGGCATACTATACCAGCAGAGATTGAAATAAAAATTTAAAGATGGGTGTGTCAGTTTGAAACTACAACAAGCAACAAGAAAGTGAGCTAAGAGCGAAATCATCGGTTATGAAGCAGTAGATCCATGGAGGACTAATCTCTCGCAAGCTCGACATCAATGGTATGCTCCTCCCCAGTGGAGTCGCCAAAATGTAGATGATAGTTCGTGATGATGTGAGGAGATCGTTCCACATCTGTCAGGAATGCTGAGATCAGAGGCTGAGTGGAGCTCCAAGCTAATACAAGGGATTCTCCGTAGAGGAGATTAAGAGAGAGAATACAATTTGTTTAACACTCTATGATAGCTCGGGTTCTAGAAGACCATTATTTATGGTTATGGTCGAGGCGGTGTATATGTATTTCAAAAAACCCCTTAAATGATGAAAGTTCAGTCCTATTTATACTACTTTCATTTGGGTAAGGACTTGGTCATGAGAGCCAACTCCTTCTTTATCCAATGGTCGCTTTACCTAGGTAAAGACCCTTGGTTACGAGGGTAGCTCCTTCTTTATCCAGTGGTCATTCTACCTAATCATTGACAGATTGGTCATATAGCAGGCAGCCCGAGGCACGCCGCTGCCCTTTTTCGAGGTGGTGGCGATTGCATGTATTTTACGTAGGTCTTATAAGTCAATCAACTTATATTTAATGTATTATGTGGTCTCTAATACTTGAGCTCAGTTATTGGGTATTAAGTATTCTCTCCCCCTTGTGTAGACCTCGAGTTGAGGCGAATCCTTGGAACTTAGCTGTCTAAACACTTAGATTCCCGCGATCATAAAGGGAAAGCAGAGACTAATCGAGGGCTTGCCTTACGAAATCTCGGTCTTTCGTTTTTTGTTCGCACCTCGAACCCTCCTTTTTACAAAGGTTTGCTCGAGGCGAGAACTCTCTTCCAATGAATATAAAGGAGACCTCTTCTGCAGAAGAGACATCACCACAGGAGGGCAAAGGATAGCAACCCCTTGCCCTTTGCAAATTCAGTATTCGCCAAAGACCTAGTAGCTCGAGAGTACTGGTGTTGCCAGGGAGGTGCCAATTAGGACTAGATATGGTCCTATCAGAATTGGCCAGGTGTATTTTTAGTAATAAATAGTGCCACATGGCGTATGGCGTGGTGCGATCATCCACATTTATAATAAAATAGTGCCACATGGCGTATGGCGCGACGCGATCATCTACATAAACTATGATTTTGTTTGGACAATGGTTTTGGATAAAATCTTGACGCTGGATAACTTGAGACGGAGGAGACAGATCATGGTCAATTGGTTCTGCTTGTGCAAGAGAGATTAAGAGATTGTTTATCATCATCTGCTCCACTGCCCTGTGGCCTGGGACCGTTGTGGTTTTCTTTTGGGGTTGTTCAGGGTCCAGTGGATCATGCCTTGGTCCTTAATAGCCTTGATTGATGCTTGGAGAGGGTGTTTATTGGGCACCCAAGCCCGTGACTTTTTTGAGGGTGGTCCCTTTTTGTGTTTGGTGGTGCATTTGGAGGGAGCGGAATAGAGGATCCTTCGATAGAGACGAATCTCCTATTGTGGCCTTGAAATCCTTTATTATTAGCTCTGTTTTTTATTGGGTCAATGGGAGAAATTGTAAATCTTTAGTCGAGTTTATTGATTTTTGGATTCTTTGGGTCCTTGGGGCCTTTTTGTTGGTCCTTGTGTAGATTTTCTTGGGATGCGTTCATGAACGCCTTTTATACAATCTCACTTGCTTATATATTAAAAAAAAACTTCTGTTTTCGCATCATTTTCTTTTTGAATATTGGAGATTATAGCAGAATAGGCAGTTTATTTTTGCAGTATTTTAATGAAGCTCAACATTTCTTGAAGGGGATTGTAGCATCAAGCTAGATTGTTTGACATGAATCTTTTATTATGATCCCCATAGTTTTGCCAGTTCCATTCAACAAGGTTATGTGCCATGTAGACCACTTGCGTGTTTATTTGTGGTTTTTTCCATCACTTATAATGAATATGCTTACCTGTTATAGGTTGAATATGAAGCAGTCCGGAGTGAGCTCTTGGTAGAAATAGCTAGGGTCACTTCCAAACAGGACCTTTGTGCAAGGTTAGCAATAAAGTCAGAACCTCTCTCTCTGTCTCTGTCTCTGTCTCTCTCTCTCTCGTGTTTTCAAAAAACACTCGTGAGATGATGGGTAATAATTAGGAAATATGAAAACATCGAGAGCCCACTAAGTGACACTGTCAGTGGTCCATGGGCTTTTTCTCTTCGGCAGAACACTTCCATTGATTTCAAAAATAGTGGATGATAAATTGGTGGATGAGATTATTTTCACTTACTACATAGTAACCCAAGTAAACTTTATGCAGCGTTAGGCTAATTTTTCAATTTCTATCTACTGACTTTTATCTCTATGTTGGGGCCTTTTCTTGGTTCGCTTCTCCAAACAAAGCTCGTGTGTTAGTACAAGTAGGGGTGCACATGGTTTGGTTCAATCCGATTCTGGACTAAATGAGAACTGAACCGATCCCGACAGTTCCTAGAAAATTATAATCTGCACCGGACCATAGCAACCGTAAAATCGAACAGAATCATGAAAGACCGGTGTGGTGTGGTTCTATCCATGATTGTGGACACTAGTAATGGAAACCTGTGCCACCATAGAAACATGTGATTGCATACCTGCCAGAGATTTTATAGTTTTGTTGCCTATTTTCACTTCTTTTTCATATACGTTTTCAGCAAGCATGAGATTGAGTGTAACAGTCCACACCCTACACGACACAATATTGTCCGCTTTTGGCTCCCACGGACCGGACTTCGCAGGAGGTCACCCATTGTGGTACTACTCCATCATAAGTATGCTTAATTGCGGAGTTCTAATGAGTTCACGGCCTTCATGGCTTTAAAACGCGTTGTGTCGTAGAAGGGTGTTGAACTTACATATAGCACTTCTCCTTCACCTTCCCCAGGCGATGTGGGATCATGCCACCCATAGTGTGCCGTAGTAGCTCGCCTAGTGTCTCGCACCCGCCCGCATAGGTCGTCACATTGAGACTCAAACTACGTAACATAGTGGCAAAAGCTCTATTGGGTGCATGTATTATAAAACTAAGAACAAACTTAATAGATGTGAAGAAATTATATAAATTAAGCAAAAAGCCGCAACATATATTTGTATATATATTTATTATATATATATATAATTAATGGTTCAGTCCTAATGGACCCAAAATAGAACCAAATTGTGAGTTAGCGGTTCTCAATTTTTGGAATCGGACCAGTTCGAACAGTAACAATACTAGATTGAACCATACTGTCTGGTTTGGCTTGGATCGATTCACCAGTTCCACCGTTTTTCTGTGCACCCCTAAGTACAACAAGTGATGCGAGTGACTGTATAATCAGATCAATTTGGGTCTAAATGTATTAAGATGAAGTTGCTAACTAGTGGAGCAGGCTTGTCAGGTAATAAAAGCGAGTATGAAATGCATTTGTGTAGCTGAAATAAGAATGCTTAGGTACATGAAATGAGTAATTAAAAGTATTATGATTAATAATTAACGTGTGACATAAATCAAGAGTGACACTCGTTCCTAATAAAATAAGAGGAATGCTGGCCTAGGTGGTCTAGATATGTATAATTTAGACCTGTGGATGCACTGTTAAGAACTAGAAGATTAGTTTCAAGAGAAATAAAAGAAAAATAGGCTTACCAATATGGGATAGAATAATTAGACTTGATTGAAAAATCAAATGGAATAGGAGGAACGGATTTCAATAGAAAATAATGAAATAAGAGAATAGACATGGTCGATTCCATTTATATGGGATAAAGGGAAGGATAATGAAAAAAGAAAAGAAAGAGATGATGATCCCAACTTGATCAACGTGATTATTTGGCTTGAATAAGATTTGCCCTTTGCTACGTTCTTTATATACCATATTTAACAACAAATATTCATATTGATGTAGAAGACTTTTTGGTTTACCTTAAAATTTGGGTTGAGCTTCAATTTGGATCTTCTGTAGGAGTTCAAATTTAAATGAAGATTACATCTTTACATCTTCATCTGTCATATCACATTTGGCTGACTGAATTTTCGTATTGTTAGCCGCAAATGATGATGAGGAACACTTGCGACAGTCGGCGATGGTTTACGAGTTGTGGTGCTGCAGTTAGTGATGCAGCCAATGTTGAGAGTAATGCCTTTTCTACTAATGCGGCTGGTTATGCAATCAACGGTGAGGGTCCAGGTAAGTGTGTTTATGATGCATATGTCCTCATTTTTCATGACTTTTCGTTCGAATGATAATTTTAGTACAAGTTATGTGATCCAAAAGCTCTATTTATAGCTCATGAGCTTAGAGCCTAATGGAGTTTTATATTTTCATTGTTTTAACCTTTAGGTCTGTGTTCATTGCATTATCCTCATAATATGTTGCACATTTTTTTATATATTATATGTCATTTGAAAAAATCCAATTTTAATTTGGGTGGGAGCATCCTATATATTGACACCCCATATTAAAAAAAAAAAAAAAAAAAAAAAAAAAAATACAAATATGGAGGGGGGAGATCTATAAATCTTATTATCTCTAGGTATCCTAGTGGGATTCAAATGAATACATAAACATGGATTCTATCTGTTCGGAGATTTGGTATGTTCAATCTATAGTTGTTGCATAATATTACTTTTTTTTTTTTTTTTAATTTTAATTTTTATAAATTTTTAAATTTTTTTGGGTTAGTGTTGCATAATATTACTTTTTGAGGTTTCAGGTTACAATTATTAATTCATTCATAAAGTGAATTAGAAGGCAGTGCAAATATTAGTTGAAATTGCATCTTCCATCCATTATTAAAGTGCTTATGCTTTTTTGGGGTAAGTAGCATATCATAGAAAACCGCTCAAACGGGGAGCACATTCCAACTACAAATCTCACAGCCAAAACAGTATGCTATATCCTCAAACTATCCCCAAAATCATCATATCCTCTTAAAATTTACAATTTCAACCATTTGTCGTAACAACTAACAAAATAAGAATAGAAAATTTGAGTGCCTAGATAGGAGTCTCCTCTTCCCCATCAAAAGATCTTCTTTTACTCTGTCTACCAAAAACCCGACCACAAGTAAAGAGGAGCAACCATCCAAGCATCTTGTGTACATCGTCTCCAAGTTGGAAGCATGGTCTTTGTAGTAGTATGCAGCATGACCCAAAAAAAAAAAAAAAAAAACCCAAAACAGGCAAGAATAAAGCCGGCAATGCAAGAGTAAATGGTTCCTTGACTTCTCATTTATCTTACACATACAACACTAGTTGATGACCAGCTACACGACCTACACCTTCTCCGGAGGTTGTCAAGTGTCAGAATCCTCCATAAAGTTGTCCACCCAAAGGAAGCTATTGTTAAAGGGGTTTTGGTGCGCTAAATAGCCTTCCAAGGAAAAGGCAACCCCTTCACGTCCACGTTCAATAATCACTTATAAAAAGGCGAACATCAAATCTCCAATGAGAAGCGGCCCCATGCTCACTCATCTTCCTCCTCCCCACCGATCTGCTGATTGTATAACATCCCCAAGAGCTTAGCAAAGTCCTCTACCTTCCAATCTTGAGATGGTCTTATGAATTGTATATACCAAATCGGCCTCCTGTTATAAAGGCGATAGCAATCGGCTATTGTGGGAAGTTTGTGTGCTGTAATTTGAAACAGTCTCGAAAAAACCACCGGTAACGGTCTCGCTCCACACCAGTCATCCACCCAAAGCCATTACTCCCACTATTCACTCGAAACATAACATGTGTTGAGAATTCTTTCAACCTTTCTTGATGACTTTCTCACCCCACCCCTGCCTCCCTTCCCCGAATTACAACCAATGACCCTCCTCCATAAACTGTGCCTCTTGATCTCGAATCTCCAAAGCAACTTCCCCTACAAGGTTTTGGCTTTGAATCCCCAAACCACCTGCTTGAATCGGCCTGCTCCCAATTGAAAAGGTGATACTTGAACTCGTCTCCCTTACCGCCCCGCAAGAAGTTCCTTAATCTCTCCATCCTCTGAACAACGATGGCCGAGAGAAAGCAAGTTCCAAAACTCAAATAGTTACTCTTCAAGAGAGTAATTCACTCCTCTTCGATAGATATTGTTTCTTCCACCTTGCAATTTTCCTCTTGAACCTATCTAATGAGTGGATCCCACGAAGCCACCCTCCTAAGTGGAGCTCCCAATGGTAAGCCCAAATACGTTACTTGGAATTCCCCCACTGTATACCTCAGTATATCAGCCGAAAAAGTTTTATTTCCCTCACCTTCCTACTGGCACAATGACACTTTTCCCTAGATTGACCTTTTGGCCAGACAAAGCGAAAAAGCACACAAAATACTTCAAAGATACCTCAACTGAGCCCCATTCGCCTCCCAGAAGACAATCATGTCATCAACAAACAAATGATGGGATATCTCCAGCTGCAAAGATGTATCCCTGCCCACTCTAAAGCCTCTCCAGATCCACCGCAGCTTGCTGAATGCCTCCGTCACATTAATGAACAACAAAGGGGACAACGGGTCCCCCTGCCTCAACCGTCTAGAGCTACCAAAGAATCCAGACGGGACCCATTCATCAAAATTGAAAACCTCGCTAAGGAGATGCAAAATTAGATCCACGTCCTCCACCTCTCTTTGAAACCTATCCTCTCTAGCATATATTAAATTATCATTGTACTCTCAGGAGTTTAGGAAAAAGGTGTTTGGGAATAATGGAGATGAACAGGCCGATGACCTGGTTGTGGGGAAGAAGTGAGAAAAAGGGTTCTGGTAGTAGGGGCAAATCGAGATCTAAATTTAGACCTCATAAAGATACTGAATGTTATTATTGTCACCAAAAAGGGCACATTAAGTGGAATTGTTCAAAATTGAAAAATAAGAAGAAAGATAAAAAAAGAGTTTAAGGATAAATCCACTAGTAATTCTTTCGATGTTGCTAGGGAGAGTTCCTCGGATGTCGAAAATGTTCTTTCAGTTTGTGTAAGTGATTGTCACTCTAGTAGTGAATGGGTTCTTGATTTTGGTTGTTCTTATCATATGGTTTTCTACTTACCGTTCTGTTGATGGTGGTGTTGTCTTAATGGTGGACGACAATCCCTGTAAGACTATTTAGCATAGGCACAATCCAAATTAAGATGCATGATGGTATTGTTAGAACTTTGAGTGATGTCCGGCATGTTCCAGATTTGAAAAAGAATTTGATTTCTCTTGGTACTCTTGACTAACGGTTGCAAGTTTTCAGCCGAAGGTGGAATTTTGAGAGTTTCTAAATGTGCTCTTATTATGTTGAAAGGAAAACAGAGAAAAAGCTTTTATTTTTTGCAGGGTAGTATTGTGATAGGCTCTGCTTTAGTATCTTCTTCAATTGATCTAGATTCAGAAACTACTCATCCGTGGCATTTGCGTTTAGGGCATATGAGTGAGAGAAGTTTGACAAAATTGGGCATACGGGGTTTGCTAGGTGGATAGAAGACGGGAAAGCTGGACTTTTGCGAGTATTGTGTCTTTGGCAAGCAGAAAAGACTCAAGTTCAGTGCAACTGTTCACAAGAGCAAGGGCATTGTTGATTACATTCATTCAGATCTTTAGGGTCCTTCTAAGGTTCCCTCTCTTGGGGGTTCTCGATATATGTTGACTTTTGTTGATGACTTCTCCAGGAAAGTCTCGATTTATATCTCGAAACACAAACATGACGTGTTCCTTAAGTTTAAGCAGTGGAATGCCATGATTGTAAAGCAGACCGGAAAGAAGATTAAGCGTCTGAGAACATATAACGGTTTGGAATTTTGCTCAGGAGAGTTTGACAAGTTCTGCAGAAATGAAGGCATTGTCAGACACCATACAGTTCGGAAGACTCCACAGTAGAATGGTGTAGCAGAATGTATGAATAAGACTCTTTTGGAGAGAGCTCGTTGTATGCTTTTTAATGCTGGACTGTCTAAGGGATTTTGGGCTGAAACAATCAACACAGCTTGCTATTTGGTGAATAGATCTCCATCGACTATCATTGAGTGTAAAACACCTGAAGAGGTATGGTCTGGTACTCTGTTGATTACTCTAATTTAACAGTTTTTGGATGTCGTGCTTATGCTCATGTTAATGAAGTAAAGCTTGAGCCTAGAGCCAAGAAATGTATTTTCATTGGTTATGCATCTGGGGTGAAGGGATACATGTTTTGGTGTCCTGATCCTAAGTCACCTAAGTTTATTACTAGCAGGGATGTTACTTTTGATGAGTCTGCTTTATTTCACCCAAGAAAGGAGTCTTTTGATATAGGTGAGTCTCAGGATGTCAAACAGTTGGTGGAAGTAACGTGGAACATGACTTTAAAGCTCCAGAGAAACAATTTAGCACTCCAGTTCAGCCCAATGTTGAAGAGGTGCAGGATGATCATGTACCAGAAGAGCAACAGTAAAATATTGCTACACGGAGACCAAAAAAAAGGCAAATTAAATCACCTTAGAGGTATGCTTATGCAGATTTAGTTGTTTATGCTTTATCTGTGAAAGAAAATATTGAAGATCGAGAGCCTTCCACCTATAAAGAAGCTGTTACAGGAAATGAATTTGCCAAGTGGACTGTTGCTATGACTGAAGAGATTGAATCTCTTCACAAGAATCATACATGGGAGCTAGTATAACCTCCTAAAGGCCTAAAGATTGTTGGGTGCAAAATGGTCTTCAAGAAAAAGGAAGGAACTCCAGGTGTTGAAGATGCAAGGTACAAAGCACTCTTGGTAGCCAAGGGCTACAGTTAGAGAGAAGGTATGGACTTCAATGAAGTATTCTCACCAGTTGTGAAACACACCTCTATCCGCGTGTTGCTTGCCATGGTTGCTCTATTTTACTTAGAGCTTGAGCAACTTGATGTCAAAACAACTTTTTTACATGGTAAGCTTGAAAAAGAAATATATATATGCATTAGTAAGAGTGGTTCGTTGTTTAGGGAAAGGAAGACCACGTTTGCTTTTTGAAGAAATACTTGTATGGATTGAAGCAATCTCTCAAGGCAGTGGTACAAGAGGTTCGACACTTTTATGGTTGGACATGGCTATGCGAGAAGTAGCTATGACAATTGTGTCTACTACAGGAAGCTCTCAAATGGTTCTTTTGTATACTTGTTGCTATATGTTGATGGCATGCTTATTGCTGCAAAGGACACTTTATGATTAAAACACAACTTGAACTGGCAGAATATTAATGGATCAGT